CTGCAGAGGCTCAGGTCAGCTGAAGCACTACAGTTCAGTTCTGTGTCCTGTAAGCGCTTCCTGCAGCTGCAGCTGTTTATCCTCAGTGGGACGAGGGCAGCGATGCACAGCAGCTGCGTGAGATGCCAGGGCTGAAAATGCCGTGATTTAAACTCACAGCACCATCACATCACACCTGTTCCTTATAAAGTTAAGATAAAAGCCCCCTCCCAGTGCTTTCTACCTTGAGCCTCGCAGCGCGACCGTGCCGGACACACAGAGGAGCTCAGCGCAGGAGAGCGCGTCGCAGCGACCCGAGAGCGCAGCGGGAGAGGCAGCGACCTGCCGTGATCCGACAGGGCTGCGGGGCAGCGACGTAAAACCCGTACTCAGTTCAGGGGAGGCTGACTCGGCACGCTTTCACACTGCTCCGGTCGCCGCGTAAACCCCCCGGCTCTCCCCGCGAAACAGTCCCTTCCATGTGGCAGTGCGAAGCGAGCGCGACTCCCATGGAAAGGGAAGGGCAGCACGTCGACTCGGGAAGCGCAGAGCCGAGCGGCCCTGGGTGGGAACGCAGAAGGTGGTTCTCCACCCACCTGCGAGTCGCTCGTGGAGAGCGGAGGCAGGACATGACCAGCTCAGCCCGTCAGCACAGCCATGCCCAAGCAGAGCGCCGTGCTCAGCTCCGGAAGCGTGGCGAGGGGAGAAGCTGATTTGGGAACATCAGGGAAAGGGAACACGGCCCTTGGAAAACCACCCAACCACCCCACAGAGCCCGAAACCAATACCCTCTGAATTTCTAAAGGCTTTTAAAAGCAGTTTGTTATCAAAATAACAATCCAGGGCGTATTTTTGTGGTAAGAATACTTCATATATTTTTTTTTTTTTACACTTTTAACACTTACAAAAAACATTCAAACACACAAAAAAAATTAAATAACTTTGGAAGCAGAACGAGTCCTTCTGCCTACACACAGAGAGAACAATTCGGAGCTGTTGGCACAAAAAGTAATCCACATTCAGCAACCCCTCACTACTATTATCAAACATAAGTTAAGTAAATCATAGGCACTAGTTTCTCAAATCCCTATTTCCACACTTCCGCAGTACATCTCTAACACAGAGCCCCACGAGTTCCTGGTCGCGGTAAACTGGTAACGCACAAAGGCTTTCTGGTAAACTGTCTGTCTTTTCAGGAAGTCGTCGGCTGGATTTCAGGGGGAGAACAGCAGAGTAAAAAGAATCCTTGTGACACTCCAGCTGAACTCCCCCGAGTGACGAATTGCTGAATTTCAGGAAAGGTACCCAACAGTTTGATGCAGCCATGGTAAAACCCCCAACATCGTCACCTAAACCGACTTTGAAAACGTGAAAAGTCATTAAAGTGTTTGATAAAAATCCACCGGTTAAAATTCGCCTTTTTCCAACGAAGACTGCAGCACCGCTTTGTAAAACGCTAAAAACGTTAAAATCCGGGCCGTAGCACGAATACGTTTGATCTAGCCCTCTCTTCAGTGCCGCGGGGCGCCACTGGGCCGGATCGCTGGCGCAGAGCGGTACCCCTGCGCCGAATGAGCGACGGCGCGCTCCACACCCAGACCCCGGAGCCTCCACACAGCCCCGGCGAGGAGCGCGAAGTCACGCAGCAACCCCGAGCCTGCGCGAGTCATCAGAGCTGCAGATTATTCTCCACTCCTTCCTGTTTGGCTTCTTCCCAGTCAAGTAGAATTGCATGGCTTTTCATCCAGGAATATGTTCACGCTGGCCTAAAACTCAAGCGCTAGAATTTCAGGGTTAGTTCTCTTAGCGGTGGGAGTCAAAACACGACCAGCGGTTCCGAACTGGGATGCTAACGAGGCTGAAGGCGACCGACCGTCCGGTCCAACTCGTAGTGTTCGTCAGTCGCTGCGCAAAGGATACACCACTCACATTCTCTTACGTCACCAACTGTACATCCCAAACACTGAAAAAGCTTCACACAAAAACCCGTCCCTTGAACTAGTCCCACCCCCACGCGACTTTAGTTCCACGTCTGCGCGATGCCTTCCAGACCCAGAAAACAGCGGTTCGAACGCGGAACGTGCGAACGGGTTGTTCTGAGCAAGGTGTGTGCCAGGAAGTCAGGGCCGCCAGGAGTTCAACGGCTTTTTC